ATATATATATATATATATATTGATAAGAGGTATTTCGAGATAAAATAAGCCAAAGACGAACGAACAAATCTTTGTTCGTGTTCAGCTCTTTCATATATCAAGCAAAAAAAAAAATGTTCATGTTAGGCTCATTAACTTAACGAACGAATAAAAACACGAACTTCTTAAGAGCCGAACATGAGCCGCTCGCAAACAACAAGCCGTTTTGACAGCCCTAATTGCTTGGACATGCACAAATATATTTAAGAAGATATTTTTTTTTCGCATATATAAATTAACATATTTAAATAATACTTTTCACTTAAAAATTTAATTTTAAAAAAATAAAATTTAAAAAAATTTAAAACTAAAAATAGTGTATTCCAATAAATATTTCTAATTACTTAAAAATGTAGAGTTCTTAGAAGTTATAATGTTTAGGTTTAAGTCATTTTCTCGTCATTATGAATATTTGTAGTTAGGGATAAATTTAGAGTTTTAGTGCCATGCCCGTTTGTTCATTGTTAATATATAGGCCTATTTAATTAAATTATTCCGTTAGGTGACTCGAATTAAACATCAATCACTTTTATTTATGGTTTAGAAATAAGGTATTCACAAACATAAAAATAAGACAAATAGCTAACTATAAAGGATGATTAAGTAAAGATATTGTTATAATTATTAAAACTATCATTATTGCAAATGTTTATAAAAATTAATAGAGTTAATCTGTATTATAACCCTAAATCTAACATTTTCATCACTTATCAAACTTCTACGATATTTAATATTAACTTTCGACTAAACCTTATTAACTAACCTTAAAAAAGAGATGAGGCTAGGTAGATAAAAATAAGGAATGAGAAAAACCCCACTATATGGCTCAATTACTATTATATTTTAAGATATCTCTAATTTGCATAATGAGATATAAATAGAGTATAGAAGTTGCCTAGCATTATATTGAAAGAATAATATTGAATTTTGATTTATCTGTGGGTTATGCTTGAATCGTACTATCTTCGAGGAAAAAAAACAGCCAATGGGAGACAGAGAGAAGGACAAGAGTAGAAATCTAGAGGCCCTTAAAAAAACAGGAGAGGCTCAGCAATTGGGCTTCCAAATGTTTAGGAGTTGTAAATGTCGATGTTGAAAAGCGTTGGCGAACAGAAGGCCCACAGATAAGTCAAACACTAAGTCAACAAAATAGTGTGGAATAGCGTTGGCGATAGCCGAGCCTAATCCTACTTATTAGCGTTGGTAAATGTCGATGTTAATCTGACACCGAAGCCCTAAAATATCCCTTTAGCGAACAGAAGGCCCAATTCCCTATTTTCTTCTTCCTTGTCGCGATCCTATCTCCTTCGGCACTCCTCCGTGGTTTCCAGCATTTCCGACTCATTTCCACCGCTCTAACTTTGTATTGCTCTCATCCATACCTCTAAGCTTTGGTTTCACATAAGTTTTAATGTTTTTTTTTTTTATTTATTTATTTGATTTTGAATGCGTACGTGTTAGATCCGAAAATACATAAGATTTAAGTGTTATGTGCTTCAATATAAAAGTTTAAGTGCGAGATATGTAAAGACATAAGAATTTTGTGCTATGTATGTAAATGCACCCAAAAATTTTGAGTGCTATGTACCAAAATATAAAGTATAACTGTGAGAATGTAAATACATAAGAATTTTACCATGTATGTAAGTGCAGAAAAGAAAATTTGAAGAGTAGTGCTATGTGCCCAAATATAAAAGTTTAGGTGTGAGAATGTAAATACTCAAGAATTTGTGTCTAATTATATTATAATTTAGGGTGATGCTTTATGTGGCTAAAGGCATGTTTATGGCTTATGTGGTTGTCTTTTGTGTTAAAAATTTATGGTTAATGGTTTTTGGTTTAAGGGTTAGGTTTATGATTTAATTAATAAGGTTTAATGTTTTAGGGTCCATCGCTTAATATTTTGGTTATTCGCATCATTTGACGATTGTATAAGGACTTATATCACATAGATTTTAGTTTAACATTTAATATTTAATTAGTTAGAGCTCATGATATTGGTCCACAAAAGACATAAGTCGGTGTCTTCCTTTTCTTCTTGGTTTAGTATTTAATTGAAGAATATGACACTCGGTATGGCACAATGATGTTGTACTAATCTATATAACAACATCTATGATGCAGTCAGATATCTGAAATATGAGATAATAGATGTATATTAGATTATCTACAAGAAGAAAATGGCTTACTGACGAATATTTGGCTGATGTTGAGGAATCCGTGAAAGTGGCATTGCAACTCCCTATTTACCTTCCAGTAACAGATTTTGATGCCCATATGTGAAACACATGAATCAAATGTATCTGACGCCTTACGATGTGAAGGTCGATTATCACAAGAATCAAGCGTATAAGAATCAAGCGTGCCCGAGCATGGGCCTCTCTAGAATACCAGAGGAAGGGACCGACAAATTAGCAAAACCGAACGTCGGAGGGAGCCAGAGGGTCGCACTTCACATTGAAGGTTCAATACCCCACACAGAGCACTACCGGAGTTTGGTAAAATTATCTCAAAATTCAGAAACTTACAGATTTAGCGCATTATGTAACTTCTATATTTATATGATCATTAATGCAAGCCAAGAAGCTTGACAGAGAGCCATCCATGCTAGAGTCCCATGTCCTTAAAAATCGGCGTGCGGGCACACAGCAGTGAGTATCGACCACTCTCGGCGTGTCGATGTAAGTTTAAAAATTTAATGTTTTTAATTTTTTTTCGTGGGGCTATTATTATGACAATTAACGATTAAAATCTCAATTAATGTATGAATTTTGTTATGTAGGAGGAGTACAAGCAGCTCCGGGAAAGACGGAGGGAGATGGCTAGCTAGACCTTATCGTCCGCCAGCAGCAGTGATGGATAAACTACCACTGCTCAATATGATTTTGAGTTGTGGATGCAGACAACGAGAAAGAAGAACGGGAGAGTGTACAACCTCAGAGCAAAGGGTTTGGCGTTTGAGGACAAACGTTACCGTAGAGTTGTGGGTGGCTCTAGCTTGTTACAGGCTCTACGTGAGGAGCTTGTCAGGCAAGTCATAATGATAAAAAAAGAGCACCAGTGCGTGAAGCCCAACAGATTGTTGCAAATAATCTTGCACGTCTGATGGATAGTTTTGATTATTGGAGCAAGTGGCATATGAGTGATTTCAAGAAGGAGGAGGAGGAGGAGGAAGATGATGATGATGATGAGGAAGATTATGATTTTTATTATATGTTTGAAGATGTTCTCCCGACAGAGGGGCTGATTATATATTTTTATCATTTCAGTGTAATCAAACTTTCAGTTTCTGTAGTTCTGAGCATTGAACACTCTGATCAATTTATCTTTAATTAAATATGATATCATTATTTATATATTTCAGAGCTTTCTTTTATCGATTTTGCTGATAGAAAAATGTCTTGTCATACTGCTTGTGTTTGTTATACGCAGGAATATAGAAATCTAATCAACTTGCTTTACTTTATTTTATTTGTTATAGGTTTGTGTCAGAATAGTATCAAAATATTCCGACGCT